GGTTTTATAATAGTGATCCAGGAGAAAAATACTTTCAGGGTTTGTGCAAAAAAATACAAATTTCAAATGATCTTTTAGTTGTCTCAAAATATTTTGTTCTTTCATAAAATTATATAAAAGAAGAGAAGAGCAGTGTGTAAGACTACAGAAAAATGTTAAAAACTATTTATTCTTGTGAAGCTAACAAGTAGTTGGCCTGATGAACTCTGGTGTTAGACAAATGGCCTTATCAACACTGAATGTGGTAATTGTGATGTGATTGACATAGTATATCCATCTTTACTTTCACTCATAGGTTCTTAGAATTACTAATGTAGTTTCCTTCTGTTGCTGCTGTAGTTACATGACCCACTCCAGGAACAGTTTACCAGTTCTTGTGAATGATTGTTAAGTTAAATCAAATAATTAAATAAAAATAGTTTGGTTGATATATAACATAGTATAGATTTTTAGAATAAGAAATGAATATAGTAGTATGCAGTCTGTTCCAATCTGAATATAGATGCTGTGGCTTAATTCTAACATGGCATTTCCTTTCAGGAAATGTTTTTTCCCAATCTGCAGCTTGCCAATAACACAGTACTACTGGCTTTTGAGAAAACAAGCTTGTTTCTAAACAAAACAAAATCACAGTATGTTATGAAAACCTTGACAAATCAAACATTTTGGGGAGGTTTTAACATCATTATATTGTGTGACTATAGTCAAGAGACTAGATACAGGATTAGTATATGGCTAAAAAGACATATCTGAACATCTACTTAACCCTATTTCCATGGGTATTCTTTACTGCACATGACACAAGGTTTTTAGTGTCTCACATTCAAAATTTTATTAAACTACTTTTTGCTTGTTATACCAATTAGTATAGCATAAAATCTTAGCTTGTAATCCATATTTTAATAGTATATAAGTTCTTCATTCTATAAGGCAATATTTTATTTTTATTATTACACGTTTGTAGAATGTTTTCTTTATAAGACAAGAAAGTTTATTTAAAGCAATGTTTTAGATGTATACGTTTTATTTGTTAAGGCTGCTTTTCTATTGGTGGGTGGTTGTCCTAGTCTAGGCATATATTTGCCCATTGCTATGCATTACATAGAGAGAACTTAGTTATGCAGAAACTATAAATGCTGACTATATTCTCAAACAAATCTCCAGCTGCAGCTTAACATTTTACATCTCAAACTAATGCAATCAAATAGTCAATAGCAACAGTAGATCATCATGAACCTTATCAGTTAGCTACTAGGTATGTTTATTATCATTACAATGTATAAAGTTAGCTACCATATCAAGTAACTATTTGCCCATAGTTGAGCATAAAAAAGCCAGCAAACAAGATAAATAAAAAATTGGGAATGTAAAAATGCAAATAGGGATCATAAAAAAAAGTTTGGAAACAATGTTGGAGATAGTGTAGACATTATTTACTCAAACTACAAACCCCTATTTTGACTCCACCAAATGTAATTCTTGTTAACAGCATGGAGCCAAAATATGGGTTTGTAGTTTGAGTAAATAATGTCTACAGTATCTCCAACTTTACTTTTTTTACGATACCTGTTTGCAGATTTTTAAATTACCAATTTTTTATTTACCTTGTCTATAATTAAAACCTAGAACAAAGGGAAGCATTTTTTAATTATACTTTAAAACATAACAGAACAACACTAATTTTAACATTTGAAATCTGCAAGTTCATTCAAATAGCATGTATAAAAATATTTTTCAGAAGCTATGTAACCTGTTGATAATTCATCTCAAGTTTCAAAGAGTTTCAGCCAGTAGTTTTTTTGTAATGCAATACAACACAACAAACCATACAACAAGTTTGTCAAATTATTGCACCTGGGCATTTAAGAGTTAAGTTAGAATTGAAAACTACTATGTTTGGAGTGTGTACTATTTTATTTGTTTTCTTGTTTCTATATTCAAAGGGTTGGAAGTACGTAGCTCATAATGCACACTGTTCAAAGAGTTGGAAGTACGTAGCTCATAATGTACACTGTTCAAAGGGTTGGAAGTACGTAGCTCATAATGCACACTGTTCAAAGAGTTGGAAGTATGCTTTGCTTTAGATCTTCCCATGAAAGACATGTATATGTTTAATTTGCTTTAGATCTTCCCATGAAAGACTTGTATATGTTTAATTTGCTTTAGATCTTCCCATGAAAAACATGTATATGTTTAGCTTGCTTTAGATCTTCCCGTGAAAGACTTGTATATGTTTAGTTGCTTTAGATCTTCCCATGAAAGACATGTATATGTTTAGCTTGCTTTAGATCTTCCCATGAAAGACATGTATATGTTTAATTTGCTTTAGATCTTCCCATGAAAGACATGTATATGTTTAGTGCTTTAGATCTTCCCATGAAAGACTTGTATATGTTTAGCTTGCTTTAGATCTTCCAGTGAAAGACTTGTATATGTTTAGCTTGCTTTAGATCTTCCCATGAAAGACATGTATATGTTTAGCTTGCTTTAGATCTTCCTATGAAAGACTTGTATATGTTTAGCTTGCTTTAGATCTTCCAGTGAAAGACTTGTATATGTTTAGCTTGCTTTAGATCTTCCCATGAAAGACTTGTATATGTTTAACTTGCATTAGAAGTTCCTATGAAATGTTTTGATTGGTCAAGTAAAACTGATTTTTTCAACTTTATTTTCCAAAGAGTTTTTAGAAACCATAATTTAGTTGTTACAGTACAGTTGGTTTTCACAGTTTTTGCTATGTACTCAATTATTTTATGTATTTAAGTATAATTAAAAAGTATCTCTCTAAAGTTTACATGTCCTTATAGCTTTGCCAAAGAAATTCCATACTTTTCTAACATCATTCCATTCACATATCTTTGTGTTCTCCCCTTTCTGTTTTTGTTGTGTTTATATTAGAAAGATGTACATGTTTTCAAGGTAATTGGGGAAGTGTAAGAGTATTTGTTTTTTGAAAATTAAAAAGATTTCTAGACAGTTAGTTACTTAATAGTCTTTTGTTATTGTAACTTTTTTGCTATTTCATGCTGGGCTGGTAGTTTTTGCTCTGTTTTAGCAAATTGTAGATTATTGTTTCGTTTAATAATTTTATACAGTTTCTTGGGATTGTAGTTGTAGTAATGATTATGTGTTATACTTACATGTATAATACACACAGTTTTATGTTAACTTGTAGTTTTGTTTTAGAAAACAGTCCTAGCTTTGAATGTTTGCTTGGATAAAATCTTAAATTTTGATTTTCTTGGCAGAACAGTTTGATAGGCTAACAAAACAAACAAAATATTTCATCATTAATTTAACTGATGGATATTTGAAAATAAGGAATCAATTTTCCCACAATATAAGGGATTATGTTTCATGATCATTTGGCTGTGAGTTTACATTGGGTTGAATGTCTTTCACAATTCCATGAAGTGATACCCCATTTGACAAGTTTTTTTAACTTACATGTTGGAATTAAAGAGTAATTATTTGAATATAGAGTAGTGTTATTGCTTAATAGTTTAGTGATTAAACCTTACAGTTCCCTGTATGACCACCAATTGTGTTTTGTGTTTTCTCTACAGTGCAATTTACATTGAACAGGGAGCTGATATTAAGATCGCCTCTTTTTCTCATTTTTACATGGTTTCTAAAGATCATCAACTCTCTATGGACAATGAATTCTAAAATCCCATTTGAGCAAATCAAAGACACAAAAGTCCCTGACATATGTCTTCAGAATGTACAACCAAAATTCCTATTTTCACCTACATCTTGGAGAGTAACTGACACATTGACATATTTAATCTTGATGGAGCCATATGAAGATGGTGATTTATCACAGTATAGTCGTGTGAACTTGTTATTCGAGTTCTTAATGACATTTATATCGACTCTTCAAGTGTTTAACTTACCATTAAAGCTGTAATTTGTAACTAACATAAACCATTTGGGAAAATATAAATTATTCTCTGTACCATTCTTAAAATTTTCTTCCATCAGTAAATACAACGATAAATTGCTCATGTTTTTGTAGAGACTTAATAGACATGCCTAGTTCAGTTGCAGGACATACTTCCCTTTCTCACTTACCAGATGCTGCTTTTGAAACTTTTGATAGTTGGTCTTTCATTTGACTGTGTGCTTTGTGACAGGTTTGTGAACACAGCTCATATTATTTTGTAGACATAAAATCTACTTGTAAAACGTTTAATAGTTGGTCTTTCATCTGACTGTGCTTTGTTGAGAAGCTTGTGAACACAGCTCATGTGTCACTTTGGTAGACATAAATCTGTATGTATTCTCTTTACAATGTTAGGAAGGTTCTTATTTTATTTGTAATAGAAACTGTTTTGGGGTTATTTTCAGTGGGAAATTTTATAACTTTCTGCAATACCTCTGGTGCTCAACAGTTAGTTGATTTTTCCTTGCTATAATCACTACTTGACCTGTACAGTATACACTGCAGATATCCATTTATTTTAAGTGTTAAAATTTCATAACTTGCGTGCTTTTATATTTGCAAAGTAGGAGAATTTGATGTCAGAATGTCTGTAATGGAACCTTCACAGAAGGGCCCAATTTCATCTTCTATCTGCATTTGAAAATTTACCAGACTTTAACTGAATGACAATAAGAGAGAGTCTGGACTTTTTAAACTGTATAATTGTAGTCCATTAGGATGGCCAGGAGCATGGTGTTACCATATTGTGAACAAACTTGAGTATGTTACTGAAAAGTGTACACTGAATTGTCTTGTAATAGTAACTTTATAAATTTGACTTTCTTGTATAATGTCACACAAAACCAGTGTTGCATTTCTGTTGGCTGAAGACTTTTCAAAGAAATATAACTAGTTAGTAAAGAAATTTAAAGTTGGTTTTCTTACATTTGTTCAGCTTGAAAGTGAATTAATATGAACTAATTATTTTCAAACCTACATTGCTAGAAAGTTTGGCACACATGCATATTTGTTTAATACTTGATTGAAGAAATATCTTCATGTTTTGTCTTAGCAACCACTGCAGTTCCCACAACAAGTAGTAGTACGTCATCACCAGAAGTGTTCAACACCACATGTGCTTCCTTCATGATGAGATGTGACAATGAACATTGCATTCCTTTCTGGTGGCAGTGTGATGGTGTTGATGACTGTGGAGACAACTCTGATGAAGAATCATGTGGTAGGCTTAAATTTTATAAATGTACTTTGGATTAGTTTGGTATCAATATTCAAAAATGTTAGCTAAAAAATGAATAAATATAACCCTGGGAGTGATCAGGCACCTTTGATGATAAGAATGTTAGCTAACAAATGACTACATCGAACCCTGAGAGTAATCGAGCACCTTTAATGATAAGAATGTTAGCTAAAAAATGAATAAATATAATCCTGGGAGTGATCAGGCACCTTTGATGATAAGAATGTTAGCTAACAAATGACTACATCGAACCCTGAGAGTAATCGGGCACCTTTAATGATAAGAATGTTAGCTAAAAATGAATAAATATAATCCTGGGAGTGATCAGACACCTTTGATGATAAGAATGTTAGCTAACAAATGACTACATTGAACCCTGGAAGTGATCAGGCATCTTTGATCTAGATAAAAACTGTAAATAAAAAAAGGTGCTTGCTCAATAGATAAATTACATTTTTTAACATGTGGTTGGAAACTAATTGAGTTTTCATAAAGTTAAGAGATGATTCTTTATGAAAACTTTAAAAGAGTTACATTACATGTATTTATTAGGTTCATCTGAAAATAGCACAAAGGCAGAAGTTGTAACGGCTGAAGTTGCCAATGCAACCTGTGGAGAAGATCACTTCCGTTGTCTATCAGGTTAGTTTGTAGTTGTTTATTGAATGTGATAGAAACATTTGTATTTGTGGAAGATCATGGAGAAGAACTTTCTACATCTGTAAAAATATTTATTAAGTAGTCTCATGAAGTATTTAGGCTAATAAAAAAGAAGAATACATATCATTTCCTGGGAGCATGTTCAAAAACATAAAAAATCTTTAAAATATTAATTTTTTTTAATTGTTGTTCCTCTCCCATTTTCTTATTTTTACAACTAGGAAAATGCATTAGGAATTCATGGGTTTGTGATGGTAATAAAGAATGTGAAGATGGAGATGATGAAAAAGATTGTAGTGGTGAGTTCCCTAATTTGTTTGATTATTTTCTTTTTTAATAACCACTTAACTGGAGCTAAGAGAATCACTCTTAAAAGTTTGTTTTTCCTCTCTTGATAGAAGAACTTTGAAACCCCAATGCTAGTATTTTAAAAATAAATAAGTGTTATCTTAAAAACAGACATCAAGTTTAATCTATTTTAAACGAGTGTTCAGTGTACCCACTGTAACTTTGGAGAACAGTATATGCTCTTACAATGAATATTTCAGATTTGAGATCATGATTGCAGTAATGTTATGAACTTCATTCAGAATGTTTAATTTGTTGTGCCATTATGTTGTGAACCATAATGTATATGTTGTTTAGTTTATTCAAAGTTTAAAATTTGTTTGTATAGTATTTGGTTTAAGTAATAAATTCCAAAGAAAGCAGGCACACTGTTGAGTTCCTTGCAGCACACCAGCTTATAATTTCCATTTTCTATCTATCTGCTAGTCACAATAAAGTGTAAAAATCACAGTTTCTGAATGCAACTGTATAACACTTATAATTCTATACACTTTTATATAAATTGAAATTTTATCCTATTTTTAAAATATGATAATAGAATGGTGAAAATTTAATCATTAAGTTTTTTTCTTTTGAAAACTTGAGATCTGTCATTAGTCAATGTTTATGTGGTGGAGATATGAGATAAAAATTAATGTTATTAAGATCTGTCATTAGTCAAAGCTCACATGGGGAAGGTGTAAGGTAAACATAGTTTTCATTTTAAATAATAGAAGAACCTTCATTTTCTATTGATAGGTGTTGCAACTTGTGGGCCCACAGATTTTCATTGTTTCATGAGTATGGGCTGTGTTCCACAAAGTGACGTTTGTAATGGGATACCTAATTGTGGAGATAATAGTGATGAGTGGAACTGTAATGACAAGAGTATAAGTAAGTAGATTAGTTTCAAAACTTCTTTTATGTTTAGTGGAAGATCTTTAAATTAAGAAATGTAAGTATTTATAACTCCTAAGTAATAAAGACTAATCAAAATGTATATCATCATGGCAGGATATTTCTTATGTAGAGAATGGATTATGTATATCATCATGGCAGGATATTTTTTTGTCAAGAATGGATTATGTATATTATCATGGCAGGATATTTTTTTGTCAAGAATGGATTATGTATATTATCATGGCAGGATATTTTTTGTCAAGAATGGATTATGTATATTATCATGGCAGGATATTTTTTTGTCAAGAATGGATTATGTATATTATCATGGCAGGATATTTTTTTGTCAATAATGGATTATATATATATATATATCATGGCAGGATATTTTTTTTGTCAAGAATGGATTATATATATCATCATGGCAGGATATTTTTTTGTCAATAATGGATGACAGGATATTATTTTTGTCAATAATGGATTATATATATCATGGCAGGATATTTTTTGTCAAGAATGGATTTTATATATCATCATGCCAGGATATTTTTTTTGTCAATAATGGATGACAGGATATTATTTTTGTCAATAATGGATTATATATATCATGGCAGGATATTTTTTGTCAAGAATGGATTATATATATCATCATGCCAGGATATTTTTTTTGTCAAGAATTGATTATGTATATTATTATGGCAGGATATTTTTTGTCAAGAATGGATTATATATATCATGACAGGATATTATTTTTGTCAAGAATTGATTATGTATATTATCATGGCAGGATATTTTTTTGTCAAGAATGGATTATATATATCATGACAGGATATTATTTTTGTCAAGAATGGATTATGTATATTATCATGGCAGGATATTTTTTGTCAAGAATGGATTGTATATATCATCCTGCAGGATATTACATCATTTATGTCAAGAATGGGTTATATATATATATATATATATCATCATGGTAGGATTTTTTTGTTTAATTGAAATTGCATTTGAATAATAAACTTTGTTGCTTTACGTTTCTTCTAACACTGTTTCATAAAACTGATATAGTGTTTTGTTCTGATTCAACTCAATTGTCAGTGTGTTAGAATGAAGTTATTATCACTCTGATTTCTTATTCAGTTTTAAGATCAGAAAGTCTTAGAATTAGAGCTTACTGAATGTTAGGCATATATTCTTTCAACTTTTCAGTTTATGTAATATCTATTCAGCAAATGCCAAAAAGAATTTGTGCAAACTGACTAAACACACAGATGTTTCCTGCACAGGTGCATTTTATTTAAGTGGTTGTAGAAACTGATGAAACACGATGGGTTACAATGTTTTCTGCATGGATTCATTTTAATAAGATGATTGTAGAAACTGATTAAACACACTCAGGTGCAGTGTTTCCTGCATCATTCATACTGATAAGGTGGTAAAATTAATATATTTCTTTAAATGAGTAATAACAAGTAATAGACTATTTTATAGTAAACATGTTGGTAATCTACCAGAACCAAAGCTTGTAGTTTTTACTGGTCAACAGCGCATTAGTTTCTCATACATAATTTAATGAAGTTATGTGAAAATTAAATCCATTCATTGTGATTATTGGCCAGCTGTTGATGTTGTGTCGGTTTGCTCTTATCTGTAGACAGTACTTGTTTCATTTGGTGGCTGTTACCCTTTTTATAAACTCTTCTCGTCTGTAGGCAGATCTTATTTTATTGGCTGACTGTTACCTTTTTATAAACTTTTCATGTCTGTAGGCAGATCTTATTTCATTGGGTAGCTGTTACCCTTCTTATAATCTTTTCCTGCCTGTTGGCAGATCTTGTTTCATTGGCTAGTAGTTTCCATTTTTTATATATAGTTTCATTGGCCGGCTGTTACCCTTTTTATAAATTTTTCCCGTCTGTAAGCAGATCTTATTTCATTGGCTAGCTTTTACCCTTTTTAAAAATTTTCCCTGTCTGTAGGCAGGTCTTGTTTCATTGGCTGGCTGCTACCTTTTTTATAAACTTTTCCTGTCTGTAAGCAGAACTTGTTTCATTTGGTAGCTGTTGCTCTTTTTTGTAAAATTTTCCTGTCTATAGGCAGAATTTGTTTTTTTTAGTGAAAACTGTTCCTCTCTATGAACAATACTTGTTTCACTCAGTAGCTGGTAGCTTTATGTATAAACTTCGTAGATCTAGTCAGTTTTTTTATTTTTTTTCATTGACTTCATGACTTAAAACTAGCTTTCTTTTTCTTGAATGGAAATGTTTTGTGACATAACCATTTCAGTTTCTTCTGAAGGATGTGTATTTATTATTGTGTTATGATGTAGCCACTGCATTTTGTTGAAACACATTTTTAAATCAAGTTTTCTTTTGGTAGTGAAGTGTTTAGTGTCCTCATTCATATTGCTAACTTTTTATTGTTTTGTGACAGATGCGACACTTCCTGTGACTTGTAATCCTAGTCAGTTTACCTGCCATAGTGGAGAATGTTTATCACTTCAAAACAGATGTGATAACAAACCAGACTGTTATGATGGTAGTGATGAAGAGGGATGCACAGGTGAGCATTAAATGTAATACCCTATGTCTAATCTTATCCAGCTAATGCTGCTATGATCAAGAAATCAGCTGTAGTTGTAAGTATCTTTCAGTAGTTAACTTTTTTAATTCCACTAGTTTTGTGTAATGCTGCTACAATGAAGAAATTGCTTTAATTATATTATTATCCAAGTTTTCTTGGAACTACTACCCCATTTGTGAGACATCACTAGTAGTGGTACTCAGTGGCTCAGCAGTAATCTGAAGGCTTATAATCTAAAATCCAGGTTTCGATACCATGGTGGGCACAGCACAGACAGCCCATTGTGTAACTTTGTATTCAGGAACAGAAAAAACGAAAGAATAGAACAAATCATTAGTAGTACTTGATATTATGAGTAAAGTGACAAAAAATTTTAATTGTCATGGATATTAACACTTTTGCTATGGGCTCAGTCAAATCAGTTCTTCACCCTAAATTGACCTTTATAATTTCAATACTATAACTATCAATGTGTTTTGTATAGCTTTATGGAGTTTTGCAACTTTCGGTAATTATTAAGAGTTATTTGTAGACAAAAAAAAATCAGGATTTTTCTAATGAAGTGTTTGCACTAAAGATTTCTCCAATGTCTTGACAACTCCAAGTGCAAAGTGATTTTCATGTTAAGATTAAAAATACTTTGCTTCATCTCAAAATTCTCAAATTTCATTTGCATGATCTCTATAACCTCCAAAATATTTCAAACGTTTGTTTTCAGTAAAACCTTATATATCTAAGATATACACAACTATTTCAGTTTAAGTTTAATGTGAGCATTACAGTTTAGATAGTTTATATAGTGTGGGTGTCATAATTAGTTATTTTTAGAAGCAAAATTCTATGGTAAGTTTCATTATGCAACTGATTATGAATCATAAGTTGTGTAGTTCAATTCTTATGAATTAGTGGTTGTTTACAATGGTGAGGTTATTTTATCATGTTGCAAGAAATTTTTGAATTTCTTGGTTTAATTGAGTATTATTTTATCAGAATATATAGTATTGCGAGGAACGTTCTAGACTTCTTTTGGGGGTATAAACACACATCAAAATATCATTACCTAGTTTTAGTTCTAGACTGCATGATCGTGAGTTTATTGATAAAGAGTGTATAGTGGCAGTTATTAAAGTGAAATTATTTACGGTTGTATTGTAATAACAGAACAGAGAAGAACATTTTGTCTTGTCAATTATGTTTTAAAGTAACTGAACCTGCCTGTGTGGACTTTGACAAAAAAAAGATAATTATTTAAAGCTCTGGATACAACTGTGGCAACCAACAGTTGAACAGTTGTATATATGTTTGATTTGTTTTTAATATATTATTTTTAAAACAAGCAGACTGTGTTGCTAGTTGTTTATGGTTGAAATTTATTGTCAACAAGTCACAGACATCTACTGTAAAGAATCTGGCCTTATAAAACCAGCAAGCCAGACAGGATCCTAAGTGGTTAACAGCAATAAAAAAAGATGTAAACAAAAGTGGCAAAAAGGCCTATATACACACAGCTGTAGTGGTGGCAAAAATGTTGTAGAGAGCACAACCACACAATATAACCATGTCACTTGACTTAATAAGTGGATATAGAGTGATGGGCAACTTGGGCTCAAAGATGGTGATCTATCAGAGTTTGTTAAACAAGATATAGAGAGAGAAGAGTGTCAACATAAGAGAGAGGAGGAGAGGCGAAGAAGAGAAGAAGAAAGATAAGGACTAAAAGAAGAATGTAAGCATGAAAAACAAACCCAGAAAGAGAAAGAGGAAAGACTGGACATAGAGAGAATAAGACCACAAATTGAGATAGCCAAGCTCACCCAAAAGATAGACAGAGGACCCAAGAATGATGATGATGTCAGGGCCAACTGACCCAAATTGCTCAAATATGATGAACAGAAAGATGACATTGATGCTTTCTGGTGAGATATGAAAGATTCACCCAAAGTCAGATGTGGGACAAAGGCAACTAGGAAGTCTGTCTCATCCCCTTTCTCACAGGAAAAGGCCTACAAGTGTATATGTGGGCATGATTTCAGAAGATGCCATGAATGTGACAAGTTAAAAGTGGCCCTGCTGAAGTGCTATGAACTTATTAAAGAAAAGTTTTGCTGGAAGTTCAGAGAAGTCAAACCTAACACTGGAGAAATTTATATATCAGTTTATGGCATGTCTGTGGCAATACTTCACAAGATGGAATGACATGGCCAAGTGTGAAGATAGTTTTGAAGGATTTGAAGATCTACTAATACATGAACAGTTCATAATCACATGCTCCACTGATATATCGTTGTCCTAATGGAGAGAGTATCGAAAGATGTGGACGAGATGACCAAACTGTCACATCAGTATAGGGAAGCCCTTGGAGGGAGTATAACTGACAAGTCCAAAAATATCCAGTCAAAGTTGAAACCAGGGGTGGCTGACCAGAAGCAGAATGCTGCCAAAGGTGACAAGAAGTCAACAGGCAAATGGAGGAAGAGATGCTATGCTTGTCTTGAAATGTTTGAGGTACATTGTGAGTGAGTGCAAGTCTGTCACCAACAAGCAGCAGCAGAAATCACAAGATAAAGAAGATTGAACTACCCACAAAGATGGTGCTGGCGAGAAGCAATAAAAGAGTGACTCTCACCATGGGGACTGCTGCCAGAAGAAACAGAATGAAGACAACTGTCAAATTCACTACAAGAAGGAAGTATATATCACCATGATTAAACAGTGCATGATTGATGGTCAGCTCAAGTTAGTGTACAGTGCCAGTGGTGATTGGAGCATGTGACAAACATTGAGAGGTGTCAACAAACCACAACATTCTTGTAGGTGAAGGGTGTGTTGGAGACAAGAAAGTGAAAGTCCTATGAGATAATGGGTGCAGCAGTGAGAACTAGTGTAGTATCTGATGACCAGATGATGGGCAAAGTACATCTGTGTGTGTTGATTGATGGGACAGTAAGAAAGATTCTCACAGCAAGAATAAAAGAATAAAAACTTGGTGATTGGCAATATACCAGGCAGTAGAGAAACCAGAGAGAAAGAAGACTAATGAAATATATACAGTCACCACTAGAGCTCAAGAGAAGAAAAGCAAGCAAGACATCAAGCCCTTGCAAGTCTATTAGGGTGGCATCCTGAATGTATTTCTATAGGAACTGAAGGAAGCACAGAAGAATAACCCTTCACTGCAGAAACTTTGGGAAAGTGTCCAGGAGAACCCAAGCACAAGACCAAGGTGAAAGGGACTTGCAGAATAGAGGACTGGAAGGAAGTGCTATTCCAGATCTTCCAAGGCAGTTTTACTAAGAAAGTTAAACAGATCATAGTACCAACAGAATACTGGGCTCACATGATGAAGTTGACTCACGAGTCTATTGTAGGAGGAGACACCTAGGAACAAAGAAGATAGTAGACAGAATCACCAGTAACTTTCACATGCTGGGTTCATCAGAGATGTGACCAGATTCTGCAGGTCATGTGACATCTGCTAAAGGACAGTACCTAGAGGGAAGGTAGCCAAAGAGCCACTGGGAGAGATGCCTCTCATATAATAGCCATTCAGCAGAGTAGCTGTGGACTTGATCAGATCACTAGCGTCTGTATCCGACAAGGACAACTAGTACATGCTGGCAGTAGTCAACTATGCGATATGTTACCCAGAAGCCATAGCACTGCTGAAGATAGAGACGGAGAAAGCAGCAGAAGCCTTCGTGGAAGTGTTCCGCAGAGTAAGCTTTCTAAAAGAACTATTGAGTGACAGAGGGACCCATTTTACTTCAGAACTGATGCAAAGGGTGTACAGACTCATCAGCACTAGGCAGCTCTTTGCCAACCCTAAACAACCCCAGATGTAATGGACTTTGTGAGAGAGTCAACAGAGTCTTAATGAGCATGCTGAAGAATATGTGCCAGGAGAGACAACGTGACTGGGACAAGTACCTGCAAGCAGTATTATTTGCTTGCCGAGAAGTCCCACAAGCGAGTACAGGATTTTCACCCTTTGAGTTACTGTATGGAAGAACAGTATGAGGCCCAATGCAGACATTGAAATAACTGTGGACAGGAGAAGAAGAGTCAGAAGTGAGAAACACATACCAGTATGTGTTAGACCTCAGAAACTGACTGGGAGAGATCTATTAACTAGCTTGAGAGAGTTTGCATGAGGCCTGAGGATGGAAGTTTCAAGGTCAGACTGGTCTTATTTCTGCTACCCATAGACAACAACAGTGGAAAGGACCCTTTTGAGTGCAGGAAGTATTTAACAGAATAGACTACAAAGTGAAAGTGGACAGGAAAATTATGATCTACCACACCAATCTTTTGAAGCAGTACATTGAGAGGGAAGAAGACCTAATGTGTGCAGCATTTGAAGCACAGATGGACATTGCAGGTGTGGCTGTCATATATGCAAAACCGGATGATAGTGCCTTTGTAATAGAAGATGAAGACTTACTAGACCTAAGACCACTGGTTGGAGGTGAGATGTACAGAGACCTCAATATTATTGAAGACCTGAAAGGCAAGCAGAAGAAAGAACTATAAGGTCTGCTGTGTCGGTATGCAGATGTCTTCACAGATAGACCAGGCAAGACATATCTTGTGCAACACAAGATTGACACCATGACCAGTGATCCAGTCAAGGCAAAGCCCTACCAGATCTCTTGTGTGATGAGAGACCTGTTCAAGCAAGAAGTCAAGGCAATGTGTGAAGTTGGAATCACTGAGCCTTTAAATTCAGCCTACTGTTCACCAGTGGCGATCGTGATGAAGAGGGATGGCTCAAACCACTTCTGTATAGATATCTGGAAGCTGAACCTTGTGGGAAATTTGACTCCAAACTTATGGGCAACTCAAAGGCTATCATGGTGACACTAAATGGGGTCAAGTTCTTTACCAAGATCAACCTCAGTAAAGGTTATGGAGACAATGTCTAAAGAGAAGACAGCTTTTGTAACACCATATGAATTGTATCAGTTCAAGAGGAACATGTTGACTTGTGTCTAGATAAATAATAAATTGTAAAGGACAAGAAAGGGAAAATAAAATATTAAAAATTAACTATATGTGAAAAGGAAAAGACCTGAAATTACAAATATAACCAAAAGAAGATCTTTAAAGATATTCTACAAAAAATTAATAGATATGTGCTTTTTTTCTGTTTCCTAATATTGATAATTTTGTTGTATTGTACATTGATGATAATAGCTAGAGTTTTTGATATGGTAGAAACAATGAGAAATAAAGTATAAACATTTACCATAAAAAACTTTTGGCATTTGTTAAGGAAGTTCTAGAGATTATGCAAATGAAATATGAAACTATAAAATGAAGAAAAGTATTTTTATACTTAAGATGAAAATCACCTGGCACTCGAACTATTCAGAGTATGAGTGTAAATATCTACTACAGATAAATAACATATTATTGTTAGAAATATGTAATTAAAATAATGTGACTTTTATGTCCAAAGTACTTATTATCTTTAACAAAATACTGCCAGGTTTTGTGAGGGTATCTCAGAGTTACCATATGTTTTTTTGCATAAATGTCCTTCCCCAGTTAAGTTGACATGAATTGTGTCACCCCATTGGGAAAGGGGTTAAATCTGTGCGAGGTTGGTCAAAACATTTTGAAATAAATCTAAATTACCCTTTTTTTTCATTCTAGAGTGACTTCAGATTGTAACATGAAACTACATTGTTTCTACTTTTATTGTTTTATTGCCCTTTGAATCATGTCTAACTAATATTTGCACCTCAGAAGTTGGCTCACATTACCCTACTGAATTACAGTAATACACGGGTTACTCATGAGTTGCTCGTGAGCATACCTTGGGAAAAATAATAATGATGTTTTGTTTTCTTTATTTTACCTTATCTAACCTAAAAAGTTCTTAATGTTTATATTCTTGTTAATTTATAATAATAATAAAATACTCATAAAAAAAAATAGCACATACCTGTCATTTTTTTTTTCTTCAGTCAACTATCAATGAAACTTAGCCCTGCTTTTTTATAGTAATGGTACTACTTCAAGTTATATTGTTTTATTTAATTAAATATGAACGAATAAACACAGAATAATAACACGTAAAAAGCAGACAATGTCTTATAACTATCACAATATTTTGGGCTTTCTAACAGTGTGACAAGAGCCATTAAAAATTCGGCTAAGCTCTTTGATGTGTTTCCCTTGAGAATAAAGTTTGAACCAAAAACAAAATAGACAAATTTCTGTGCACAAAACAACCTAACATAAACATCATTTGATAGACTAAAACTTTGGCTTTCTATTGGTTATAAATAATATAGTATTAAATGTCAGAGAGAACTGTTGGCAATTTGTGAAATATAAGATGTGGCAAGAGGGGTCTAATTTTCTATTTTGTGGCTCTTTAACCAAATAAGATTGAAGGTTATAAAAATTAGGCTTTGCCTGAGCAATAACAAAATTATAATAAGAATTTTAGTATTGCCTTATAAAATTAAGAACTTAAAACTTTTATGAAATTAAAATATGGATAATTAGCTACGTTTTGATGCCAAGTTTATTTATATACCATGTTAAGAAAGTGGTTTAATTTAATTTTAAATGTAACCTCCTGACATGAGAAGAAAATGATGCCATTCTGAAAGAGTTAAAAACATCATTTTTTTTATCAAACTATGTAAACAAGATACACAGGTAATAGTTTCAGCATGGAAGAATTAATTTCATTTACTGTTTCATTTTTAGGGGCAAGAATAGCTCTTTCACAAAGCCACTTGTGGCTTCTGAAGTGTTCCTTTACATTGGGGAAGACCTTTGCTTTTAGTTCATCTTCAGTTATGACAATTTTTCCACAGGGGATAAGTATCAACTGGAATGTGACCATTGCCAATATGAAGTAAAGTGTTAGAAAAATTGGCCCGCTATCATTAAATGGGACCAGAATTTGATATTGTTCTTTGTATCATGAATCTTTTATCTGCCTTCCCAGCTCTTGCCAGCCTTATGCAAGCTCCTATCAAGCATATTAACTCTTTTTGACTTTATTGGGCTAAAATCGTAAACATCTCTCTTTCTTTTTTTCTTGCACACTGTGTATTTGCTTGATGAACACATAGTTATTATCTCTGTGACAAGACAAGCTGCTAACACAAAATCTCTGTGACATACATAAAACAACTCACTTGTGAAAAGTTTGTAATGGCTCATGAGAATTTAAGAGTTAAAGAAATGAGGAGTAATCTTGGTCAATTTTCTCTTTGATAGAAAGTTAGATAAAGTTTATGCAGATCACACAGTGAAATAGAATTCCACTTACCTTGTGCCTAAGTTAAAGTCAACTGATGAGATTCTTGTTTGAATAACACTGCTGTGGTTAACTTTATTGTCTCTACTACTTCTGTGATAATTTTTTGATAATCTCTGACTAATTACAGAGCATCTTTGTTTAGCCTTGGGTGCCTGATATCAAATTGCAGCTCATTTGAATAAATACCCACAGCGATAGGGCTCTCCATACATACCATCTTCAAGGTGATCAACATTGTATAGGTGGCCAACAGGAAAAACTAAGTATTTCATGACCATTTGTAGGCCAAGTGGAGTGGCCATGCAAAATTAGGTTTGAATCTGTTCACAAATGTTGCCGTGCATAAGGAACTAACAAACAACCTTATAACCATCTCCTATATATAGTAGATTAACTTCACATTTCCCACTGAAGAAAAGTATAGATATACTTTATTTATTAACATTTGTGATATTCTTTTCAAATTATTTGAGCTCTGTAGCTTACTTTTGATCAAAAACACTGAATTATCCTTAATATGATCTACTTTCTTCAGGGTGTGATGACCCACGATTATGATCATCATTTAAGTACATGTGGTATCACTATTAAAGTGACATTGTAATTTATATTGATGGTAAGCAAGATGCTAATACTAAGTATTTTTCTGCTGTAAGATGTTAATACAAGGTGGTATTGATAAAGTTTTAAGTTACAAGCTGCCTCGTGGTGGGACATTTGTAAGTTTACAGACTTACAAAGTTAAAATTTAGTGTTTGATTCCCCACAATGGACACAGTGTGACTTTTCTATAAAGGAAACTATGATTAGAAACTGTGTTTCTTTATTAACATGTATTTCTTTATTATTGCTGTTCTTTTAATGAAAAACAAATATTGAGGTAAAACCACTGATTATTGAATTAGTTTGGGTTTTTGTTTTTCAGGAAGAATCAAATTTATAAAAGTTCTTATAAATACAATGTATGATGAATGGTAATGAATTTCCATGCTTCAAATGAAATCTTAAAAAGAATTTTTATAAATTATTTTATCAACTGATTTTTCTTGTTACTTATGTCTGTATAACCTGTCTTTCAGATGTCTATAGAGTTGAATACCTTACTGTGGATGTAAAGAGTGTCAGTACAACAGGTTTCACAGTAATGTGGAAAAAACCCATAAAGACCTTGGACTTCGAGTACAAATTATCCTACAGGTTTGTTGTTTTAGTCAAATGATATGAGAAATGAAATTTGTTATAATGAAAAAAAAAACCAAAAAACTATCAAATACGATTATGTCTCCTTTTTATTCTCAGAAATAATTGGAAAGTTTGTAATAATCTGTCATCTTTAATTCTTTCTATAATATCTTCTGATCTCATTCATTTTCACAGTAGAAATACTTAACCACATTAAAATAAACGTAGTATGAACTTATTAAATAGTATCTTCTTTTATGATAGGGTTAAGTGAAAGACCTAGATTCATAGTTTTTATATCTTGTCATTTGAAAATTATAATATTATATATTTCATAATTTGTAATGCAAATCTAGAGGAGAAAGCTAAACTTGATATTACTATCATGATGTTACTAGTTTTATAGTGAACGCTACATTAATATGAGATGTTACTATTTCAGTAATAATCGCTACGTGAGTATGGGATGTTACTATTTCTTTGATAAATATTACATAGTATAGGATGTTAATATTTCTGGAATAAACATTACATAGTATAGGATGTTACTATTTATGTAATTAACATTACATAGTATAGAATGTTACTATTTCTGTAATAAACATTACATAGTATAGGATGTTACTATTTCTGTCATAAGTATTGTGTGTGTATAGGATATTATTAGTTCTGTAATAGTACTGTGTGTGCATGTGTATAGGATATTATTAGTTTTGTTTTCCACTGTATAAAAATGCAGGATGATATTAGCTCTTTACTCTCAAAACAGGTAGGTAAAAGGGCACATCATTTTACAGAATTACATTCAAAATTTAATTGGACTACATTATTATCAATGTATACGAATAAGCAAGGCATGAAAACTTATTTAATAAATTGGAGTTTAATATTATATATTAATTATATAATTAATTTCTTAATTTAAAAAGAAAATATCATGTGAAATTTATATCTCAGTAAATGCTACACTTTAACATTAGACTTTGGAAATGCATATTGTGTACTGACAGTGTATGTGTTTGGATTTTGGAGTTATAATAATTATAATGAGAACACAGAGTGCTCGCCAACATGTGATAAAATATAGGTGAAGATTGAGAATTTTTTTAAACTAAGAAGTTAGAATTTGTATACTAATTTGAATTATAAGTTACATTCTGATATTAAGTGTATTGACATATATTAATTATGAAGTTTTTATACTAGATTTTGGACGTAACTGTAAAATGTTGTGAGATGTGTAGAAAAGCTGAGCCATTCATATAGAGTTAATAACTTTCTAGTTCTGACATGTTGTTGAATGCATATGTTATTCTCTTTTTGTGAATTTGGGTAATTAATCTTAGGAAACAAAGTGTATATCAATTAAATCCATAATCCTTGAGCATTTCTTCACATCACCAAATCTTTAGATGCATGACCTTAAAAATTGTGGCTAAACTTTGAAAGAATTTACAATTATTTAGAATGAAGTCATATTTACATTTTTTGTTGATTTTGTAGCTGAAGTTTCTTCATGTGGATCAACTCAGTTCAAGTGCACAGAAGGTGGGAACTGTGTGCCTGCCTTTTGGAGGTGTGACGGAGACAAAGACTGTGGAGATGGTAGTGATGAAGCAAACTGTGTGAAGGCCACTTGTGCACCATATCAGTTTCACTGCAACAACAGTCGGTGTATTTTTGCTACATGGCGCTGTGACAGTGAAGATGACTGTGGAGATGGGAGTGATGAAGAAAACTGCAGTGAGTTAAAAATACTTTCAAACAGAATAGAATGTATTGTAGTATATATCATTTATTGTCTGATTATTTCAATATTAGTGTTGTAAGCAGTTTGTCGAGTTTTATCTTTATTCATAGTAATGTAAAGAGAAATGTCTTGGCCATTAAAAATATTGATTTATAATGAAGTGCCCATAAAGAGAGGCCTTTATAATGAAATATTCATACTTCTTAAGACAAAACAAAATGTTTCATGACTTGTTACATGTGTTCTACTTTGTTGAATCTTTAATTCCAAATTCTTGAAAGACTTGTATGTTTAGTCCATCAAATAAGATGACGATGTTTAGAAACCAGCTTTCAAAGTTAAGGACACGTGAGCAGGTCATGTATCGAGAAAATTGAAATAGTAATCAGTTCTTTCATATCCTGAAACAGCTGTTAATTAGTCATTCAAGAATTTGTAATTAGCAAAATCCCCAAACTAGCAAAATATGGAAAACGTGCAAGTAGCTCTAAAATGGCCTAGGTGGTGATGAGTTAAACTTAAATTACTGTCCTTTCATGATTAAAATAAATAATGAAAGGAAATCTAGTAAACATCAATGTCAGTGTCTGATGATGTCCCTAACATCCATTTCTTGGGTTCTTCCTTCGTCCCCTTCTTCGTCACTCTCCTGCACCTGCTTCTCAATCTGGAATCTGCCAACATTTGGTCTCCTTGTGCAAAGTTATTCTGAGTTCCAAAGATGAATAGCTGTTATGGGATCAAAGTAACTTAATGAAGACAAATGGAACATGATCAGAAGCTGATCAGTGATCATGTCGGCACCCAGACAAGACCTCAAGTTGGTTTTGATCATCATCTTGCTGAATTCTCTTTCTACCTCAGCAGAGCTGACTGGTACACACAGCAGTAGGGCAAAGAGACCACAGGAGTTAGTTAGCTCCTTCTTACTCCCAAGGATGACAGCAGCCCATGGCTGGCCTTTCTTGCTGTGCCTGGTGAAATTAAGTAATGAAATAGATGTGGAAATTGTATCAGAGAGACCATTATGAGAATTGCATTACTATTCCTGTTTTTAAATCATTATTTTGTGTTCATTTAATAAACCTATGACAACCGGCTACTAATTTTTTAGTAAGTAATGTCATCCTCATCATATATCATTCCAAAATATAAACTAGTGGATGAAATTGTTTAAGATTTGACAAAAATGTTCTTAAAAGTATGTAGTTTCAGAAAAATATAACATTTGATATTGATTTTTATACTATTTCTAAAAAAAAATTCATTATTTAATGTAGTTATTTGCACTCACATTTTGAATAGTTTGCCTGCAAGGTGATTTTTGTATGAGGTATAAAAATATTATTTTTTACCTTACAGTTTCACATTTCATTTGTATGATCTCTAGAATCTCATAAATGAATATCAAAAGCTTTTTCAAGGTAAAATATTTATATTTCAGTTTCTCTACTATGTTACTAACTATATTATCATCAACATGCAGTGCAATCAAATGTTTAAAATCAACAAATAGAAATATATACATACCTTTCAATTCTTCATTGAAATCCATGAGAATGATCGTATTTTTCTATTATGTTGAATTTCAAGTCTATCTTTTCACTCATAGTTTATTTTTTGTCATCATTTATGCCTATACATTAACTGATGCCGTGGGGCTTTATAAAGGTATTTAGGGAGACTCCCCGAGAGACGCATTGTTGAAACAAGGTGGCAGTTATACATGTCATCGTGTTTATATCCTTTCAAAATCCAGGCAACAAATTAAACTTATAAAAATAATTAAACTGTTCAAATATTATTTTTAAAACAAACATAATACATTATCAACTACAATACAAAAGTGAGACCTAAATAGAATTTAACTGCTTCTCTAACTATAGCATAGTTAGGTAAGAAACCACCATATATACTATAGTCAGTCAAGCAGACAACAATATGAACAGCAGTTACATGTACACTGTAAGAAAAACTGCATGCCAATTTAAAATTAACTTTTGGTAGAGTATAGTGTAAACTGAGCTCTTTCTAATGACTATATACACTTGTGTCAACTAACTGCATATACGTTATAGATCTCATGACAATGTATAGAAGGTGGGCATGGCAACTGTCAAAGTTTGGAAAAATTTATATCTGTTTCCCAGACAACCCAGCTTGTAGACTTTAGATCTCATGTGACAATTAGGTCAAACATATGTACATAGTGTGTAGAAACTCCTGTACATGCCAGCTTGTATATCTAAGAGAGAAATGTTGCTAAAGTCGAGATTTTTCAAAGCACGTAGATCATGTCACATGAAAACTGCAGTTTAAGTATTTTATTGGAAGGTATCCTTTGAAACAAAGTAATTAAAACTTAGATGACATAAAATTCAAGTTATACATTATAATATTAATTTCATTTTCATATATTGATAGTAAAATGGTTTAATTATATTTTGAATGTAATGCAGTACCATATGCAGAAAATTTCAAATAATTCAACCACCACAATAAGGGTCTTCTTTATCATAATGCATTTAAATTTGTCATTTCTTTTTTGTAAGGTGTGAAAATTGATCATTATGTACGCAATAAAGATACAATTAGGAGCATTTTCTAATAAGGTTCTTTACGATTGAAACTTTCAAATCCCTGTCACTTTATTTGATTTTTGGTTGGAATACTTCGTTCATTTTAGAAAGTGGTTTATATCAAAATGTGTAGAGTGATATTAAAAGTGATGGCTGAAGTGAATGATGAATCTAGGCAATGAACCTCAACAATTTGTTTGTCTCACAATGGTCAAATAACGTTATGTATCAATCATTTACTAGCCACAAGTTCAGTCCCCATTTTTATTTTTCACCTCTTAAAATAAAAAACGAAAAAGAGAGAGATTATTTTTTTTTGCGTGGTATATTTATTGATAACTTAGCTATTTCAAATTTTTAAGGTTAAACTGTCAACAGTACTACACAATGACATTATCAACTTTACAATACATAATCGGAATCGGGCTGATTACACACCATAATAATCAGTAATCAGAGATTTCTGATTGTGACATGATTGGTAAACCCATATTATGTGTTTTTTTATTTTTAGCCACAGCATAGTGGCTCATAGAATGGCTCTGAGTTTTTCAAGTACAAACTTTTAGCTCATAGCTCCATAATCTCTTGACCAATTTGAGATCTAATTACAGTTTTGGACTCAGGAGGTCAAACCCTTTCGACTGATGTACTTGATTATGCCCAAAGTATCATAAATTAATTTACTCTAATCCTGCTTAAAATAATCTCAAGTGCTGCAGCTATTGTGGATTCACTCTTGTTATTTTTAGTTAATGCAATCTGCTAAGTTATATTCAAAAGTGTTTGCCTTAACATGTACATATTTACAAAAATGTACATGCAATAAAGTAGATTCTCCAAACAACTTACAAGTTTGCAATTTTTACGTGCCTGTTCTTGGAAAGTATTAACAAATAATAACTTGTAAGTACATCTTTCAAATGTGTAAGTCTTGGTGCAGATTTGATGTCATATATATAAATAAAAAGTTATAAAGTAGTATTCTGATTGAAAATAGTTGTCATCTTTATAGAAGTTTAAATAATAACTATATTTCAAATTTTATAAATGAAATTTTATATATCAATTCCCTTACACTGATACAAAAAGTTTGAATATTGTACAAAATGATGGCATTCTTATTAATGAAAGTGTGTTTATTTTGAATACACAAGCAATCATAGGGATGACGTTTGTGGATTGTATATGACTGACGAGTATTCGTAAATTTGGGAAGACTCTCTCTTGATTTGTTTTAAGTTCGACTCGGTTAAGAAATGCTTCAAACAGTTTGGGTGGAGTCAGACTTTTAATGGCTCTTTTGATTTTAAGGGGCCATGCAGGCTACCTAGCAGACACTTTTTATGGGCCCGTAGGCATTTTGGGGGCCACTGGCTCTTAGGCCCCTGCTAATTTCGAACTCTGGCAACTTGTACTATAATTTCAAATTTACTAAGTGTATCTTCAAGAAATTTGGCAAGATTTTTACTTTTAGTAAGTCTGTTTACACAAATAAACATTTTTTTTCTAAAATGTCTTCTGTGTGTTTACAGTGTCAGTCTGGCTCAAACTCTGATTGATCTGAATGCAAGGTGATATTTACTGCAATGAAAACAAAAATCCTTTTTTCTCTTAAAAGTTATCATACTTAATTAACATGAATATTAGAGCTCCCAAATGAATATCAAAATATTTTTAAGGTAAAATTTTTTATTTTATCTGTTATTGACTCCACCTGACATTAACTGTAGCTGAGTAATCAGTGTAATATGGAAATCAATTGAACTTACCTTCTACTTTCAACAATATGTTTTCAAAATAGGATCTTACATTATTCACAATTTTTTCTGCTTACTTTTTCACATATAGTTTATTTTTAATTTTATAATTTTATCACCTGGCTTGTATTACATTCATTTTTTCTCATGCCTGAAGAATGACTCATCACATTGTGAATATTATGAAGCCATGCACTAGTAGTTACCTAGGCCTTTAGTTTTTTTTTCCAAGTCTTGGTCAATATAAAAGTGAATTTAACTTTCAAATATGCATTTTTAAACATAGATAAAGCAAAATTTATGAACACAGTTTGTCCAAAAACAATGATAATTGCACCCTTGTGGCTTAGTAATTAATCTGCAGACTTGTAGTGCTAAAAAGTCAGGTTTTGATACCTGTGTTGGGCAGAGCACAGACAGCCCATTGTGTAGCTTTGTGCTTAACTATAACCAAACCCATAATAACTTAACTTATTATTGTATATTGCTGCCAATTCCAAAAGGAAAGTTATTGGTGATGTAAATTGTATGATTTTTCAATCTCTCTGTCAGATATATTTGACATTTTATTAACAAATATGTGTCAGCTATATGAGAACAAAAATAGATTACGTTGACAGAACTGCAAAGAAAGGACACTACTTTAAAGCAGTGTTTTCTCTAAGTTGTGGGACTGCACAACAACCAATCAAGTGCCACACACTTCATTATTCCATCATCCTTGAAAAAATAGAGGGAACATTGCTTAATAGGGGAACAAAAGGTTACTGTTATACCATGCTTCAGAGAAATTAAAGATCATATATAAATAAAAATCATTTAAGTGGTCTGAAAAAAATGAAATGGTTTTACTTGTTTTTTCATGAAATATGAGTTCACAACAAAATACATTGAGATATCTTTAGTTTTCTTTCAATTCACGTAACATCTATTTAATTCAGTGATTTTTCTGATAACCTCCACTATAGAGAAGGTTTTACAATGAGCTATAAAACTTGCCCTACCAATGCTTGCATGCCCATAAAAATGCATGCTTTGATAGCCTTACCAGCTCCCTTAAAAAAAAAAGGTAAGAGTGAACCTAATTGCTATGCACAGCTTGAAACAAACAGATTGGTGTTAAGCACCTTTCTGTCTCAATAGAATTAACTTGAAACTGAATTTTCACCTTTTGATGGCATAATTCTGTGTTAAATCAAACCTGACTGTTGAAAAAGTGATAACACCTTCCAAAATGTTTAGTTCTTAGTTTTTACACTAGTTATTAGACCAGTGTGTCCATAGTTTCAATGTGTTTGGATTTTAACAGTAAATATGAAAATAAAATCACATAAA